AGGACATCTAAGCAGTGGATCACTGAAACTGTGTAGAGGACCTTCAAGCGTGTTTAGACTGCACTGACTGGGATGTTTTCAGGACTGCTACCAACAATCTGGATGAGTTTACAGAGGCTGTGACGTCCTACATCAACTTCTGTGAGGACAGCTGTATACCAACACGGATCAGGGTGAGTTATAAAAATGATTCACAGCTGGTTCACAGCTAAACTCAGACAGCTGAGGCTGGAAAAGGAAGAAGCGTTTAGGAGTGGAAACTGGGCCAGGTTCAAGGAGTCAAAGTACAGGTTTGCAAGGCGGTGTGAGGTGCTAAACAGCTGTGCTTCAACACCAGTTCTCAAGAAACGACTTTACTTCAGTCAGGAGAGCCTTCAGATCACCAGCTACAGACCTAAAACCCCCCACTCCATGAACGACTCTCGCCTTACCAACGAGTTGAACTGATGCTTCGAAAGACAATGGGACAGACCTGATACCATCCCCCGTCACACCACTGATCGGCCATAGTCCACCATCTCATTCTCACCCTCATCAGAGGGGGGTAGCTCCACCTTCTCCCCTCTCTTACCATCCTGGAGAGGGATGTCAACAGACTGTTCAGGAGGCAGAAACCTTACAAAGCGGCTGGGCCGGACTCTGTCTCCCCATCCACCCTGAAGCACTTCACCTCACTGGAGACATGCCATGTGCCAGCCAGCTTCAAAGCCTCCACCATCATCCCTGTCCCCAAAAAACCAAGTACCACAGGACTAAACAACTACAGACCCGTCGCCCTGACATCCAGGTTATGAAGTCCTTTGAGCGCCTTGTGTTGTCCCACCTAAAATCCATCACAGACCCACTCCTGGACCCCCCTGCAGTTTCCCTACAGAGCCAATGGTCTGTAAACGATGCAGTAAACATGGCCCTTCACTACATCCTCCAGCACCTGGACTCCCCAGGAACCTACGCCAGGTTCCTTTTTCAAGTCTGCTTTCAACATCATAATTCCAGCCCTGCTGCAGGACAAGGGGTGCTTCTCAAGTCTCTTAATTGCATCCACGTTTCCCTCACTTACGTCTTTTCCGCCAAGCCAGGAGAGAAGGAACGAGGAAATGTGTTTGTAGAGACATGAGACGTCCTTTCCTCCGAAGGGTTTCATGAAGTGACGTCTGTTTCTGATGAGGGTGGCAGCTGATCACAGCTGATCCAGCTGTGATCAGCTGCCACCCTCACCAGTTGGCTCTAATAGCTGTAGAGGCTTTTGATGGAGTTTGTGTCTGCACACGTACACTGTGTTGATACTAATAAAGTCTCTCAGTTATCAGTGCAGAGCAGCATGATTCTCTCTGTAGCTGCTACCTGTTTAACAAACACCTGCACATGAATAATTATGGGTTACTGGATGTCCTGCTCAGAGGTACAGGATCATTTGTACTGGTACAATGCTGATACAGTGTTTCCTCTATATGCATTCAGCAGCGGCGGTGCCTACTAAAATTATACTAATAATTAAACTATGTGCTATAAATGTTTTCACTCGCACACTGTGCAGTACTCAATGCTCGGCTCACTTCCTCTCCTCGTTCAATGCAGGACATACCTGACAGATGGTGTTATAAGAGCAGCGTGTAGAGCTGTGCATATCGATTATTTTTCAAGTCGATTAATCTAACGATTATTTTTTCGATTAGGTGATTAATCTAACGACTAATTTTGTTTTTTCTAAAGAAAGAAAAGTTGCCTATTACTCGATTAACATACCAATTTATACAAAATAAATATAAAAAAATGTCTAATCAATAAATCTATATTTTATTCAATCATCCTGATGAAGCACATTAGACTAATGACAATAGCAGCAAATCTTAAAATGAATCAAATTTCCACGTCACTGATGTGTTGTGATAATAACAATAACAGACATTAATTAGGCTACTTTACTTAAAACTTTACATGTTTCTGACATGGATTCATTTCAATATTAAGTGATGCAGTATGATAATCAAATGTATTTCTGCGTCAGTGAACATACATTTTCTAGCTCATACGTGGCCGTTAAATAAACAGAAAATATGAAACAGCCGATCGTTACATGACTCGCGGTGTAACGTTACGTTACCATGACAACAGCGGGGCAGAAATTACTTTTAACATGAAGGCAATAAACATTTTAACGGACTACATGTCCTCATGCTGATAACGTGCCGTGCTTGTCTGGCGACAGAACGTAAACACGATTTGCGGTGCTGCCCTCTAGACAAAGTGCTGCGGGATACTTTCATGTCACATGTTTGTGGACAGCAGTTGTGCTGCAGTGAAGTTGTTTCCAGTTCGTAGAGCTCACGGAGCAGCACGTTGTTGAGTGTCTGTCTGAAATACTCCAAACTTTAGACGGTCGAAGGCGCGGTCTAGTAGCTGGAGCTTGCCTGGGAGAATCCCACACGTAATGCGCGTCGACGTATTTACGTAATCGATTACGTCAACGAATCGCCCCAGCCCTAGTAGCCAGTGTTTGATTATCGGAGCCGCAGAAAGTGACGGTGAACGCGAGCGGAGGAAAATATTCTGGCAGTAAATGTACGGTGTCTGTTACAGTGTGTCTGCTTCTCAAGACCAAGAAAAGTCTGTTGTTTCCCACCTGCTGGAAAAGTGAAGCCGGTCAGCGCTAAGTTAGCTAACATCTCCCCTCCCCTTCAGACTGTGCAGCTGAGCAGCTTCTACAGCAGCTACAGAGCTGATATGTAACTTAACATTAGCGCAATTTATAGAAAGTAACTGGAAGCTGTATTTTATTACTGCCTACTTGTCCAATGTTGAGAACATAAGGTATAAACTTAGACTAAACTGACGTAGCCTGCAGCTCTGTCCTGTACAGACTGATTCAATTATTTTTCAGTTTTCAGTCTGAAAAAGTGGTTTTGGAAAAGAAAGGACGGAGGTGACTGGAGGAGCTGAGGTTAGTAATGCTAATTAGTGATGCAAAGTCGTCCTTTTAAGCTAACGAGGAGACGTTTCTTTTTGGATTTTAATGTGCAAATAAAATGCACCTCAGAAGGGAGGAGGTTTCTCATGTTGCCTATTTTTTATATTAATGTCTACAGATAAATGCCAGAAGCTGTAAAATGAAGACACAAAAGGCAAACAGGAACAGTCGTATCTATAATGATTCTGAGGTCATATTAACAGGGTTTTCCTGCTGTTAAGGCTTAGGGGTGATGCCCAATACATGCTGTGCCATCACTGTAAAATCAATGTGGAGCAACAGAACCAACCAAATTACTTTCTCCAGATCTAAAGGATGTAGTTCCTCCAGTAGACTGATCTTTGGCTGTTATTGTATTTATTATCTGCTCTAGCTTTTCCAACTATTTGTTCAGAGATATGGTAAAAATAATGGCCCAATATGATGTGAAATTACATATTTTTCATTGGAAAACATAACATTTTCTTGGGGGAGCACCCCGAATCCCCCCAACAAACACCAAAACATTCATCTAAAGCTCAAATTAAACTGGGAAAACGCTGCAGTTTTAAGGTATTCTAAGGTGAATCGCATGCTCATGGACACAAGAGCAATGTTGCGGAGACATGTGTTGGGGTTTTATATTCAGACAAAAATTTTGCTTCACCTCCGTTGCTACAACTCCATCCTAGGGGAAACACTGAAGATTACTTGTTTTGAGAAGTGTGAGTATGTTTTTGGGGGGGACGCTGCTGTTTGTCCTGCCCCCGCTGCTGAAAAAAATCCTAGAGGAAACACTGCTGATATTATCTGCATTTAGAGTTATTGATTCTGATTGTGAATTCATTATTGAATAACCCAGAATATGATCATGTTGTCTTGGGATTTATTAGGCTAAATGTTTAAGGGAAATGTTTATCAAAGAGGAAAGTCTTAAGCCTACTCTTAAATGTGGAGATGGTGTCTGCCTCCTGAACCCAAACTGGAACCTGGTTCCACAGGAGAGGAGCTTGATAGCTGAACGCTCTGGCTCCTAGTCTACTTTTGGAGACTCTAGGAACCACAAGTAACCCTGCATTCTGGGAGCGCAGTGCTCTGGTGGGGTATTAAGGTACTATGAGCTCTTTAAGATAAGATGGTGCCTGACCATTAAGAGCTTTGTAGGTAAGAAGAATGATTTTAAATTCTATCCTGGATTTTACTGGAAGCCAATACAGAGAAGCTAAAACAGGAGAAATACGATCTCTTTTCCTGGTTCCTGTCACGTGCTGCAGCATTCTGGATCAGCTGAAGAGTCTTAATGGACTTTTTCGAGCAGCCTGATAATAAGGAATTGCAGTAATCCAGCCTAGAAGTAACAAATGCATGGACTAGTTTTTCTGCATCATTTTTAGACAGGATGTTCCAGATTTTCGCAATATTACGTAGGTGAAAAAAGGCGTTCCTTGAAATTTGCTTAATGTGAGACTTAAACGACATGTCCTGATCAAAGATAACTCCAAGATTCCTCACAGTGGTGCTGGAGGCCAGGGCGATGCCATCAAGGGAAACTATATCTTTAGATAATGTGTCACGGAGGTGCTTGGGCCCCAGAACAATAAGTTTAACATTAGAAAATTACAGGTCATCCAGATTGAAGGCACATTTGAAGTTTAACTAACTGATTAGTTTCATCTGGCTTGATCATATCATCGGCATAATAATGAAAGTTTGTGAGTGTTTCCTGATAATATTTCCTAAAGGAAGCATGGATCTGCTTACTGTCATGACATAACATGAATAATAATGGCTAGAATTCCTTATAAAATCCCCATAAACTTAAAAGTGGCTTGATTAGTTAGATGAGATAGTTTAAGCACAGTTGGACTTCCTATCTGTTTTTATCTACTCAAGTATGAGTCCCCTCTACTGACAAGGTGATGATTTATTTATCTGTACACTTGTGTAATTTGGAACTAACAGGGGAGGTGTTTTTTTGTTTTTCAAAACTAAACACTTTCTTTACAATTTGCTTAAAACTAATTAATAATTACACTGAGCTGTCTCTTTCCAGCTCTTGTCTCTGCAGGCAGAGGAGGTGCAGAAGGAGAGCCAGGTGGAGGAGTATGAGAGGGAACTTGCCAGAGCCAGGTGGAGACTGAGGAAGCTCAGAGAGGAGGTTAAGCAGGCCAAGAGGAAGGTGGAGGAGGCTGGAGACAGGAACACTCCTCTGCAAGACTCCATCAGACAGTCCTATGAAGAGATCCTGCAGGTACATGTTAACATATGTGTGTGTTTGTGTGTATCAGTAATAGCAATAGACATCATCTGTTTTGTTTCATTTAATGCATACTGGATTAATAGTACTCAATAGTACCCGTTTAAAGGGTCACTTCTGTAAATTTAAACCTATGCCCTGTTTTCACATATTTTGGTGTTGTAATGACTAGTAGGTCCAAACGTTTTGAATGATAAGTGATGTGTTTCGGTTTTGAAACGAACCAAAGAATGAACCATACACGGATTCTAAAGCAACTTAATTTATTGACTGGCTACTCCCTGCTATGTCAGAAGATGATACTTTTTATCATGTGTCGGCCACCATTGCTATGCGCTTGGAAAGGGGGTGGAGTGGTGAGTGAGGAATCACCGCTAGATGTTACTAAAACTTACACACTTTATATTATTTAGGGTTTTAAAGATTATGTAAACACACCTTATGATTACTGTTATTTTCTGTTCTCTGAATATTTAAACTCAATTTAAAGTTTGCCCACTTCTCAAAATCTCAAAACTGTTCCACTGTGAAGACCTACCACTCTATTCTGTCTATTCTGTCATTTACGAGTGTTTTCCACTACACCTGTCTCCAGGGAACAGGCTAGGTTTAGGGAGAACAGTTCCAGTAATAGTTCAAGCAGTACAATATTTTTTATACTACCCAACTGCTTGCTACACTTAGCTGGTATTGTCAATCAGATCAGTTTCATGTGGAGGGGAAAAAAACAGCTGCATGTAACCACAACCACTGAAATGCTACCATCTAGAAAGACTTCTCTACCATTTTTAATTCAAAAGGAAGGACACCCAGAGAAATTCACGGTTTGATCTTTCCGCCTTTAAGCTAGCTCAGTGGTGGATGATGACAATTATAAAAACTGAGGAATGGCACAAAATATAATAGTATTTTTTGCATTCCATTCCCATACTTAAAGAGAAATCTGAAAACCAGTCTAAATCTACAGTCTAAATCTACACTGTTTCCTCATGACACCTTACTGTTCTTTCTTGTAGGAAGAACACACTCTGTGTTCTCTGTCAGGAAGTGCAGTCACTCCAGAAAGCCAGCTGGAGGAGTCAACATCTCCAGCAGACACCACTGAAGATGATCCACTTCCTATGAGGCCATGGGGAAGGAGCCAATCACTGCCTGCCTATGCTGACCTGATAATGGTAAATCACAGTAACGTTGTATACCATTTCATACCTCATGCTGCGATAGTCCGACAGTATAGCCCTGGTCCATGCCAAGTGGTCCTGCCCATTTTGGTGCTGCTCTCCGCTGGCATTCCCTGCCATATTCCCTGCTCCTATGTTGAGACCTCACCAAGATACCATGACATAATGCAGTTTAAAAAGAAACTTTTGTTAAAAATAGTACTTCGAACAAAAGTACAACAAAATATATTAAGGTTGTGATTAGGGCTGACCCCCAATAGTCGAAAAGTCGATGCTTCGATGGGTGGAGCCTGATTCGACTGTCAATCTCACAGTCGAAGCTTCGCAGCGAAACAAGGATCCTGCCATTTTGGCGATATGGGGGTGCTCAACGTCTAATTTTACATAGACCAGTTTTTTCTCAATAAGTTAATATACAGCCTATTACAATATACATTTCAAAGTTTAATGCTGTAATAAACATGTAAAAGAATAAAACTTTCAATAAATGTTTTTAAAAGTGCATAAATAAAACCAAAATTGTAACCCTAACCCTGGAGCGTCAGTGCGCATGTGTAGGCGTAGCGTGTGCGTACTGGCTGAAGAGGAACACTTGCTGAAGAGACTGAGCCCCTGCTTCAGTGATGCCGAGTTGTCCACACATCGCGGGACTTTTGGATAATTTATCACCGTTGATGAACCACACAAAGAATATTTTATAGTTTTTAAATAGCCAGCTATTAAAGTAAATAGTGTATTGTGGGGGCCAGCAAAACAGAAACTATAAAAAATACCTATAAAATACTACTGCTACTAATAATAATACCATACATCATATCTCATGTCATTGCTATAATAATAATGATAAACGGGGCTCTCCTACATAGGCAAATAATTATATTAACATTTATTCATTTAGCTGACGCTTTTATCCAAAGCGACTTACAGTTGCTATATATGTCAGAGGTTGCACGCTTCTGGAGCACCGAGGGGTTAAGTGTCTTGCTCAGGGACACATTGGTGTCTCACGGTGGATTCAAACCCGGGTCTCTCACACCAAAGGCAAGTGTCTTAGCCACTGCGCCATCACCCCTGCTAATTATATATATATTTTTTGTCAAGAAGTAGTTATTACTTTACATATAATCTTCCAAAATGACTACTTTCTACTATGTAGCATATTCACATCTAGTTTATCCCTTTACCAGCATTCTATCCAAAGCTACGAGAAACCATTTTCAAACCAGCCCCTGGCTCTAACACATATTGTCTATGATACAGTGACCCAGAGGAAACACTGCTGTTAAATTAATCTAATACTGCATGACGGTCTACAACGAGGACCTGCAACTTTGAGTTAGAGAACTTTGTTAGGCAGGGAGTCGTGTTAGATACTTGTTCAGCTCACATTTATTCACAAGTCCGCTCTGGTTGAATCATTTCTGATAATCCAACTGTAACTAGAGACAAGCAGCTCGCAGATAGATTTAAAATACGTGCTGTTTCGCAATGACACTTGTTTTGTCTTGTGTTATAAATCCAGCGGCATATTCCCCTGTGGTATTTATTCCCATAATGCCTGTTTGTATATTCGATACGTACTGAGGAACCTTTTGCAAGCACTGGTTTATTGTTTATGCCTATTGTCGCTAATTTGCATCATACCTACATCATGCCTGAATTTATAACTTTTCTATGTTCTATAGACAAATTAACAATCGCCACTTAATTTAGCATCAGCCTGAAAGCAAATGAAAACAAAAATGTATACATTTTCATATATAATTGTAAATTAATCAAGGGTTGTTGTCAAGGGTTTAAATGATGGACGTTTTTCTATTGTTAAACAATATATATTGTCATATCGCACAGCCCTAAAATACAGGTAAGGAAAATGAGTTATAATAACAATGATGTAGCCTTCGAGTAAAAAATAACAAATAACTGAGAACTTATTTAAACACTGAAAGATTGAAAGTTGATTTATTTTTTCTCCACCACAACTAGAAATGCACCGATTGCATTTTCCCTGTCCGATTCCTTTTTTGTTTTTTTTAAGTCTGACTTGCCAATTCTGATTTTGGATGATTTTCTTTCTTTCTAAAAACTATAATTGACAGCATAGACAAACATTTTAGTACCTTTTCTTTATTGGAAAATGGTCTTCATTAGGATCTCCATTAGCATTTGCTCTTCTGACAGTTTTTCTCCAAACTGCAGCAGGTTACATGACCTTCTCTCACTCAGACAAATGTCAAAATAAGAAGTGCTCCAGGTTCCGCTGCTGGAATGACAATGTAACTGTAGAATACATAACCCTATTTCTAGTAGCCTATGTTATTTCTTATGTCACCATTTTAATTCTACTTAATTTGCCACCTTAGTTTAGTGTTTACTGACAAACTACAGTAATCTGCTCACCTTGCTTTTCCCTTCAGACACACTTACACCTGTCTCTCCCTCTTCCCTCTATGGGTCAGTCTATAGTCGGTTACTGTCTGTGCAGCTGTGCGCATGATGTAAAACACTGTCCAGCGCAGCATGTGTTTAACGTTTAATGTGACCAGCAGAAAATTAGACATTTGACGCTGCTTGGCACCGGTCACCGGTCGTGGCCGATTAAGTCGGAAACTGGCCTATTGCAGTTCCCAGCTGGTCACTCGTTGCATCCCTAACCACATGCACAAGGGTCTGGGACAGCATACATCATAGCTGCACCTTTAAAAAAAAAACTGCCCCACAGTGACGTCTGGCATGTTTTTGTTGAATATCGCGATAATTTGAAGCAGTCAAACGTTTGATGTGGAATAATCCTGGAATCAGTACTCCTCATCTGAGATCAGTGGTGTAGTTGCGCACTCTCACGTCAACAGGACAACAGTCTGAACAGCACAGAAACTCTTGAGATTTAGTAGTCTTGTAGTTCTACTGTGCTACACAGTAGTTTTTTAACCTTCTCAAATTCCTCTCAAAACCAATACTGGGATTCCCTGAAAAACCTGGAAAATTGGAGGCTAGTTTACTTGCATCAGAACTGCTGGGGTGCGGCAGATGTAACAACAATATCATTATTTGGAGAAATTCGTAGTTGTAGTTAAATAAAGTTGTCACTTTTTTGCCTGTCTTTTCTGTGATTTGACATTATTTAAAAAGTGTTTTTAATTTAAGAACTCTCTCACTGTCTGTCGCTGGATGTGTGGGTGACTACCAGAGGGCAAGTGGCTCGTCTTTCTGCAATAACCTAGCAGATACCAGAGAAGAAGCAGACGACAGCGGGACCAGCTCGCCAAAGGTAGCTCCACTACTGCATAGCACCTCTCATCATGAGTTTATGTACTGTTTATGTATCACCAAAGTGATACATAAACAGTGTTTTGTGCAATAAAATAAATAAAATACACTGTATGTATTACATTTACATTTATTAATTTAGCTGACGCTTTTACCCAAAGCAACTTACAATTGCTAAATATAATAGGTCGCACACCTCTGGAGCAACTAGGGGTTAAGTGTCTTGCTCAGGGACACATTGGTGTCTCACAGTGGATTCGAACCCAGGTATCTCATACCAAAGGCATGTGTCTTATCCACTGCGCCATCACAAACCCATCTTATACATTATATATACTGTACTTAGTATATCTTTAGCTGGTTTGCAGACTAAAGTCATCAAAGCTGTTATGATTTTGAGATATTGAGATATTTAATACTGTGATTATTCAATACCATGATGACCACGATCAACCTGCCCCTTACATATAGGACTACCAACCAGCAGAGTACGGTCTAGACCTGCTCTTTTATGAAAAGCGCTCAGAGAAAACTGTTGTTGTGATTTGGCAGTATATAAATAAAATTGAATTGAATTGAAAATTGAATTGGTCACCATTCAGATGTCCTCCTTGGTGTGGGATGCAAACACTGTGTGGTCATGTTTCACAGATGGACAGATCTGACATAGAGGATGACCCAGAGGAGGGGGAGATCAACAATAAAGGGGAAAAAGAGAGAGATATGGAAGAATCCACTTTAAACCCAAACCCTCTCAGCCAACTGGACTTCTACCAAGCCGACCCCTTCACCCACTGTCAGAGTATGTATCAGACATGGAGTCAAGCTGAGAATACATTTCACTGAAAACTTGGTAATAGAAATACTGGAAGTATAGATTTTTTTCATTTGTTCATCCGTCATGAGAAGGTAGTACTAGTAAAATGTTTTGTTTTAGGTCTACCGCTAGGCCTTCTGAATTCTACCAGCTCCTACTAGGCCATATATGGCTATATAAGAAATACATAGGTAGGGACACACATTAGGACTGTTGAGGAGATTCGGAATATTATATGAAAAGTTTCTAAATTGAAGTCTTCACATCCAGTCATACTCTGTGCGCACTGCCCACATCTCTTCATTAAGGATCTCACTGAGCTCCTTCCTTTTGTTGGCCTTTTCAGCGCAAATGTTTCTGCACATGAACAGTGAAGGCTGCTGGTTGCCACACATTATATTTTTGGTACAAGAACAGCATTCTTGCTGGATTTGCAGGATCCGTCTACGGTTAGAACTGGTCAGTGATTACTGACCAGTCGGTCAGTGTGTTGTCTAATTTAAGTACTGAGCTGTAAGGTTTATTCTCCTTCTTGACTGTCAAAGACTTCTTTGAGTGAATTATGTTGAGCTGTTTCCTCCTGCTCAGGCCAACTTGTTGGCTTATTTAAATCTTTCCACTGGTTTTAGTGGTAACTGAACTTCTCCAAAGCCCAATTGTGTATGTGTTTAATGATTAAAGGACTGTTGAAGGACTTTTTTTTCCTGTCTACCATATGGACTCGTTTTATTTATTAGAGGCTTTTCAGATATGCAGAGGAGGAGCAGAATTTAAGTTATATTTATGATGATGTTATAGACTGATGCGTAGATGCCATAACTAAACCAGTTGCATGATTTCAGGCATGTTGGAGACAGTTTTTAGGTAGGTGTGACAGACAACGCAGCATTACAAATCAAGACACATTTTAATTAGCATTGGTAAATGTTTAAGGAGATCGGGACAGTTCATAGTTAGCTCTGGTATAGCATATGCAAACAAAACACTGCACTATAGTTTGAAAATTCATCTAACACGACCCAGAATCTAAAAGTGAGCTGATTTAGAGTTACTCCATACTAGATCTTGTATGGAGGAAAAGCATTGTTTCATTGACAGCTGGGTGTTGGCCGGTGTGGTCTGTTTTAATGGCGAACACACCCACCTGTGATTTACTATTGTTTTAGTGTTGCATTACTGTTACATAGGGTGTGGAAAAAGCATGTAGTCATCACTAGTTGGCAGGGCAAGCAGTTTTAGACTGTTGGCTGTGACTGAAGATGTCACATTGGGTTTATGAGTGTAAAAAACTACTATTACCATTATTTTCCATTTATATTTTAGACCAAACAAGTACTAAATTAAATGAGAAAATAAGCAGCAGGTTAATCAATAATGAAAATGGTTGCTTCTATAAAAAAAACATTTAACTTTCTTTTCTACTGATGATTCAACCAGGACACTTACGTTTATCCAAGCTTTGAAGTCCTCCACTTGCCAGTTACTGAACATTGTCATTCATTAACTTTTAATGAATGCTCACATCTGCACCAAACTTTACATGTAGGATGAGAGTCCCGCCCTGATCACATGTACATACCGACATTCACCCACAGTCATAGCGCCACCTGCTGGCAACAGGAAGTGACCTTTAACGAAGCAGCCCCCGCCGCACGTTTCACCTGCATGTACAAATTTTCTGTGGTACGTGTATCTTGTCCAGACGTACCAAAAAGCCTCTTGGAGCGATGCCCTAAAACCAACAGGAAGTCGGCCATTTTTAATTTTACGTCAAATTTTTGGATGATTTACACACTCCCTACTTTAACGAACTCCTCCTAGGGATTTAGTCCGACCGACCTCAAATTTCTGCTGTGCCTTCTAAAGGCATTGAAGATGTAAAGTTGTGCTATCTGTGAGTTTTCGTCAATGGGCGTGTCCGTGGCGTGGCGTCAAAGATCAACTCTTCGCCATGACACAGGAAGTTGTTGTAACTTCAGTGTACATGCTCACATCTGAATAAAACTTTACGTGCTTGATAACTCTCCCACCCCGCAGACATCTACATGCCAATACCGATTTATATTTATAGCAGCAAGTGCTATGTAGCTCCACATAGGGGACACAGGAAGTGACATATAACACGTTCATACAGCGTCGGAACCGCGTAGCAAATTCACAGCCGCACCAGCAGAGCTCCAGAATATGCAACTACAAGCGCGAGGGCCCGACCAATGCTGCTTGCAGCTTCAATTTGGGTTTATTATTATTATTATTTATTATTAACAGTGATGTTCAAAAGAGTGCCGAACCATGTGTATGCTCTGACCTATGTATATTGTGACTTTATAGCGAGCCAGCCACGTGCATCCTGTACCCAGTTTATCCTGCCCCTTTTCAAATTTCTTTCTCCCTATATTTGTAGATAACCTCTTCGACGAAGACCTGTTCCCTAAAACTGACTCATCTGGTGAGTAATAATACACTCCGTATTTGCTGTTTATTTTACTTTATTTTAGGAATTAAGGGTTTTGTCCTGGACATGTTGTTGGTGGAGATCAGGTAAATGACAAGTCAAGGTGACCCCTAACCCACTTGTCATATACGTTGTTGCTTGAAACTCTTTGAACTCAAGTATAGTTAAATTTTGTTGCACTATTTTATGTACCACCTTAAATCTAGTGTAAACTAACTGTAAATCCTGTGATCCTAAATGCTTTTAGACAGCAGTGACAAGTTAATTTACTCAAGCACTGTACTGAAGTAAAAATTTGATGTACTTGTTTGTGTATTTTACATTTTAACTGGCATGGTTCTAAGCTTTTGTTAAATTTGCCAGATGGATTCACTTCAGACCCTTTCAAAGGCAGTGACCCCTTTGCAGCAGATATTTTGTTCCCAGAGGTGAATGTCTGCACCGCTGAGGGGTCAGGAAATGTTGTTGATGAGGCTGACACCAGTCTGTCCTGTGCTGAAAACAAAGCCTCAACAGGAACTCAGTGCTTTGAGTCTGAATTCCCTGATGAAGACAGTGACATAGAGATCAGCTACAGTCGAGAGGACCTGGATGCCATCGCTTTGATTGATGATTCTTGTGGGTTTAAACCCATTCAGAGCTCATCAGAGGAGCTGGGGCCAGAACCCATCCAAGGCTGGAAGTCCCAGAATCAGTATTCTGTAGAATCAGATCCTAATGGGTATGAGCTGGACCTTGGCACTGTCTCTCCTCCTTCTGACATTGAAGAACACAGTATGGGATCTCTAGCTGGAGATGCTAATGCTGAGGCAACAGAAGAACTGGAACAAGGTAATCCATTCCCACCTTTGATTTACATACTGTTTACACTTCTTTTGTGTGAGTAGACTGGTGCTATAACTCATATTTCATGCTTTCCTACTTAAAGGGATGTTTTGGTTTTATGTGGCTGTCCAATCAGTGTTGATGGTAAATGCAGTCCATTGCAAAGCCATGGGATTTCTAGTCTCCACCTCTAGGTAGCCAGGAGGCGTGGTTTAGATGCCACTCAAAAACTAAACTTTGTATTGCCAATTAGCTGACATCCCAAAATATGAGTGCAGAAACAGCGGAGAGAGGCAAAGGCTGCCACTGCAGTCGATGCCATGTTAGAGGATATGGCCTTAGAGGAGACGCTCCAAAACCTTAGCTGCCAAGAACTAGGGCTGCAACTAATGGCTATTTCATAGTCTATTCGTTTATACATCAGCTTTTACATTCAGCTTGAGGTTGTTTCAGGCATGTGTTAATTAACAATTAAGACAATAATCATCAATGCTGCATTCAAAAAAACATCTTTTAATTAAAGCTGAAAGCAGCGTTGGGCGGGCCCTCGCACGTGCAGCGCGTCGGGGGGTTAGGCAGCCGCGTTGCATATTCTCGAGTTCTGCCGGTGCGGCTGTGAATTTGATACGCGCTTCGGACGCTGCACGAAGGTGTTATACGTCACTTCCTGTGTCCCCTATGTGGAGCTACATAGCACTTGCCGCTATGAATATGTAGATGTCTGCGGGGTGGGAGAGTTATCAAGCACGTAAAGTTTGGTTCAGATGTGAGCATGTACACTGAAGTTACAACAACTTCCTGTGTCATGGCGAAGACTTGATCTTTGACGCCACGCCACGGACACGCCCATTGACGAAAACTCACAGATAGCACAACTTTACATCTTCAATGCCTTTAGAAGGCACAGCACAAATTTGAAGTCGGTCGGACTAAATCCCTAAGAGGAGTTCGTTAAAGTAAGGAGTGTTTAAATCATCAAAATTTGACGTAAAATTCAAAATGGCCGACTTCCTGTTGATTTTAGGGCATCGCTCCATGAGGCTTTTTGGTACATCTGGACATTATACACGTACCACAGACAATTCGTACATGTAGGTCAAACGTGCAGCGGGGGCTGCTTCGTTAAAGGTCACTTCCTGTTGCCAGCAGGTGGCGCTATGACTGTGGGTGAATGTCGGCATGTACATGTGTTCAGGGCGGGACTCTCATCCTACATGTACACTTTGGTGCAGATGTGAGCATGTACACTGAAGTTACAACAGCTTCCTGTGTCATGGCGAAGAGTTGATCTTTGACGCCATGCCATGGACACGCTCATTGACGAAAACTCGCAAATAGCACAACTTTTCATCGTCAATGCCTTTAGAAGGCACAGCAGACATTTGACGTCGATCCGACTAAATCCCTAGGAGGAGTTCGTTCAAGTACGAAGTGTGTAAATCATCCAAAAATGGCCGTGAGATTCAAAATGGCCGACTTCCTGTTGAGTTTAGGGTATGGGTTCTTGAGGCTTTTTTGTGCGTCTTGATATGATACATGTCCCCAGAAAATTTCATGCATGTAGGTTGAACGTGAACGAGGGGCTAATTTTTTCCAATTTTCGAGGTGGCGCTAGCGAGTCATTTTGCCACACCCATGCGCGAAACCCATAAAATACGAAATTTTTCACCAGTTCTGACATGTGTGCAAAGTTTGGTGAGTTTTCGGTTTATGCTCAGGTCCCCAAAATGGAGCTTACTTTGCACAAAAAAGAAATATATATAAAATCTTAGCAAATTGAATAGGGACCTCGCACAGTTCTGCTCAGGCCCTAATAATCTTAGCAAATTCAATAGGGACCTCGCACGGTCGTGCTCGGGCCCTAAAAATAAATAAATAATCTTTACAAATTCAATAGGGACCTCGCATGGTCGTGCTCGGGCCCTAAATATAATCTTTACAAATTCAATAGGGACCTTACACGGTCGTGCTCGGGCCCTAAATATAATCTTTACAAAGTTGTCAAGCACGTAAAGTTTTGTTCAGATGTGGTTCGTGCTCAGGCCCTAAATATAATCTTTATAAATTCAATAGGGACCTTGCACGGTTCGTGCTCGAGTCATTTTCCCACGGCCATGCGCGAAACCCATAAAATACGAAATTTTTCACCACTTCTGACATGTGTGCAAAGTTTGGTGAGTTTTCAAGTATTTTGTGCGAGGGCCCGCCCAACGCTGCTTGCAGCTTTAATTACGTGGATTGTATTTAGGAACAGAGTAATTCACTCAGTAGCCTAACCATATCTCCAGCTGCATTTCAACAGATAACACTGTTAATGCTGTCTCTCCATCCCTCCAAAGAAAAAAATCACTACTGTAAGTACAGTTACCATAGTAATCAATGCACATTTTACGAAAAGTGATGCAAATATAGTCTGCTGTTATGTGTTGTAACGTCACACCTCTTCCCTCCAAAATTAAACACAAAACGGATAATACTGCTTCCCCGACTCCCCAGAAGAAATGGTATCATATGTAAGTATAAGGATAGTAATCAGAACACACGCCTTTAATATTTATCCGAAAACTGCTGCAAATATAGTCGCTGCTGGTGTCTGTCCCACCTGAAACCATTCAAAGTGGTTGACAGCGCGGATTGGTTGGAACTACTGAGAACTGCATGGAGCACGTGGCGGCGAGATCAAAGAGTGTCGTAACTCTCTTATTTAAGGGCTCTGGTTGTGATTACGTTGAAAGTGACCAATCATAAGAGGGTCAGTGCCCTCCCTGGTTTCCGCCCGCAAACAGTCAAAAGTCATGTAGATTCGAGCGAGCAGAAATCAGCTGAGCGAGCAGAAATCCACTGCGCGAGCTAACCACCCCGCAAGCAGAAGCCCACTGCGCGCGAGCAGGATTCCACTGTGCAAGCAGAGTTATTCTTTGAGAGCATACCAGGCGCTCGCTCGCAGCTACCTGTACAGCTCTCGGTTGTTGAAATTGTGTGCGAGTATTTTGTCGTGCGCGCGGGAAGGTAAATTTTTGCGCGTGTGGAGTAACATAATTTGCTCGTGAGCATGTTTTACACGCTCACAACTTATGACCAAAAATAAACACCATACAGGTGGATCACATCAAGGAGAACAGAACAGGAAGCAAAGCAAAACACAGACAGCAAACACAAACAACTTCAGAATAAAACAGGAAGCAAAGTACACGGGAACACACCAGGACAAATCTACCAAAGTAAAACACAAAACATGGACTGAGACCGGACCAAACAGGAGACAGGACTACACCAAAACATGGAGACACAGGACTACACTAAAACATGGAGACACAGGACTAAGGACTCGAACAGGTAAAAAACATGCAGATGAACATAAGAATAAACTAAGCTACAAAACCCTAAACAAGACAAGATCAAAAATGAAACACAGAAATGCACAGACCAGGAATAACACTAACATGAACTAAAGCATAGAACTAAGAACTAAGGCACTGGACTAAGAACTGAGGCAAAGAACTGAAATGCAGGACTAAGACCTAAGATAAGAGACAAGACCGACACTAAGTAAACCTAAACATCCGAATGAATAAAATTATAAACAAGGCTACACAGAGAAACACAGAACCAAAAACAAACTTAAACAGGATCAACAAAACAAAGAGCAAACATGGGCAAAACACTAGAACACAAGACATGGAACCAAAACAAGACCAGAATCCTTAACTCATAACAAAGACAAACCTGCCTAATACTTTCACAGTCAGCCCCAGGCCTATTAATGATTCAGCAGTAAGAATCACAGTTGGTTCCCCTCCTCCAGGGAAAAAAACTAAGCTATTATGTATAGTTCACACACTGATGTGGTTATAAGATTTTTGAAAAAACACTACGAACTTGAAGCAGCATATGAAGGCTAACCACCTGGGAATTGAGGTAAGTTAATTGGGGTTGGGCCGATAGACGATGTCATCGTCCATCAGAGATGGCTGACAGATAGTCGATGGTTGAGCAGGCATCATGATTGTAAAACCCTGCCCCCCGACAAAAAAAATCAAAATTTTCCACACCGCCCTGTGACAGCAGGTTTTAATCACCACGAACATTATTATAAATTTTAAATATGCTTTGCACCTTTCTCAGAATTCTCCTTTCCCCACACTGAGATACAATAGAGGCCGGTAAAACACCGGCTTGCCCCGCCTCTGTCTTGTAACGTCATAGGCTACCAAGTTTTTACCATTAACACTAACTGGACATCTAGCTCAGGGATACATTGGTTGACGTGTCACAGTGTCGGATTGAACCTGGGTCTCTGACACCAAAGGCTTGTGTCTTATCCACTGCATCATCACCACCCCTATTAATATGGTCTCAAAGGTAATTGATCATCACCGTGTGTAGCTAAGAACCTTCCATTACACAAGTAAAAGCTTCAGTAATTAATTTGACAATAAGTGAGAGAAAGAAGAAAGACAGAGAGAGAGAGCAAGAGAGAGTAAAAGAAAGAGGGCCAAGCATAAAAACAAAACTATATATATATATATAACTATAATGTCATTAAAACACAGCTTGCCAGCTGCAGGCTGACAGTCTTTAAAGCTCTCTCCACCGATAAAACGCAGTATTCAACATTCAAAACAATAAAAAAAAACAGTTGCTTAACACATTAAAACTTGACTCACCCTCACCAGTTTACCTTGATGTGGACAGATAAAAAAAGCACAAATGAACTCCAAAACGTCATCAGTATTATATCCATGCAGAATATCAAAAACATACCACAAAGACCTCTCCCCACCAGTGCAAGAGTCGGGGGATGGTGGCCAGTAGGCCTATTGGCCTAATAGTGATACACACTAATGTAATTAATGTAAGCTAGCAGTATCAGCTAGTGGGATGCCTATTACACTGATATTAATTCACTAGGTGTATTATATGAAATGGTGAAAATTTGGTTATATCACAAGACATTGTGTCAGACAATGTATGCCATCATGCCCATTTTACACCGTACCATGACATGTTAATTGCACTATTTTTGCACATCTGCACATTGCTCCATGTACAATTTCCACATGTATATGATAATTCATCAGTTGCACAACTGTTAATTCGTCTGCCTGCACAATGACAAAGTGTATATATCTGTTAATTTTTTTTTTCTACGTCTGATGTTTACAATTTTTATATTTGAAGCTTATTTTATATCTCTATTCATCAAATTATCTTCATTGTATTTTTGGTTTATACATATATTTTATTTTACTTTTATTGTAGGCATTTGATGTGGACAGCAAAGTAAGAATTTCAACACTTTGAATCTTGAATGCCATCTAGACCTACCAAAGCAGTTAAAATTAAATTCTTGAAGATTCTTACCATTTTCTTACAAGTTGTTCACCAGGAAATCCAGTCCTTTCTATTGTTTTCTCCTGTCTCTCCTTGAGAGGGGTCAAGTGGAGTCGTAAACCTTGACCTGTGACTTTGAGTGTTTTGAAAGCCGGCTATTAATAAACTGTATTATTATTACAAAAAAGCCTAAGTGCAAATGTTTTTGATCAAGTTGAAACAGTTCCAACTTGTGCCCACACATCTTTGACTCATCTTTGTGCCACCCAGGTCAAGTTTTTACCTATTAAAGTCCACCTAGGTTTCCATTGTGTTACATGTTGATTTCCATGTAAAACCTTTCTTAAATTTGTAACTATGAAATAGTAGAAATAGTAGTACTAGTAAAATAATAATTATCCTGCTTTATTTTCTAAATTGTATGTCCTTTGACATTGAGCTCTACATCTACAAGTTTGAACGATTCTCTTGATCCTCTTTATAGACTTTTTAAACATTTGACTATAGTGTTTCATATTTTTTTGTATGCAAGAATAAAATTTGCGTCATTTGAACCAGTAGTTTTATTTTGTTGCTTTTTAAGGCCACTGAAATTGTCTTCTTTTTTTAGGTCTGATTTCTGGTTCCGCTCAGGCTGTCCCTGAGCTCGGCCAACAACTCCTGTCAGAACCAGATTGGACAGGTGCTATAGAGGAAACCCTGTCATGTGATGTTACTTCCAGTCAGGGGGCTGATTGGGTTAGCAACATTGAAGACAAACCCCATAATCCTGTAACTCCCCAAAACTCACTAGGCTCCCAGAGCATCTTCATCCAGCCCGAGTCAGATCAGAACAGAGAACTGAGCTTTGAGTTTAGCTATGAACCAACAAGTCAGTCTTCCTTTGACCCATATGGGTTTAAACTTAGTCCAGAACATTCTAGTCACACCCTCTTAGACCCTGATGAGGCAGAACTGAGTCCAGAACCCACTGAAAACGATCTGATCTTCGACTCAGTGCCCCCCTCTTCTCAACCAGACCAATTGAAATTTGATCCATATGGGTTTGACATCACTTCCTCCCAGATGGTACAGGACTCTGACCCTTATGGCTTTAATCTCAGCCCTGAGGAAGAGAACCAAGAGATACTGGACATCTGTGGCCATCATAACCAGGAGGCAATGGACCTTTGCACCTGTGACAACAATGAGCAAGTAGAACACTCTAAATATAGCAATCAGGAAGTACTGGAACCTCATAACCATGACAACCAAGAAGTGCTTGAACATTGTAGCCATAATAACCAGAAACTGCTATATTTGTTTAACAATGGAAACCAAGAAGTGTTGGAACCTTCTAGCCTTGACAACAGTCAGATAGTTAGCAACGAAAACCAGGAACTTCTGGATTTTTGTAGTGATGATAACCAGGAGGTGGTCGAACCCTATCACAATATCACCATTGAGGAACTACTTGAACCATGTAACTATGGTAACCAAGAAGTGCTGGAACCTTGTAGCCATGGCATTCGGGAACTGCTGGATTTCTCCTGTCCTGAAAATCAAGAAGTACTGGATTTAGATAGCCATGTAAACCAAGAACTACTAGATTTTGGTAGCAAAGAAAATCAGGAAGTGCCAGTTTCAGGTAGCCACGGCAACCAGGAACTCCTGGATCTTGGTAGGAATGAAAATCAGGAATTGCTAGACGTAGGTAGCCATGACAACCAGGAGGTGCTGGACTTGGTTAGTAAGGAAGTTTTCCCTGAAGCTAACAATAACCAATGTATTGTGGAACCAGAGCTCAATGTCAGTCTCACTAATAACAGCTCAGACAGTGATGTGGCATCAGAAGACCTGCTGGGACTCGAGCTCAGTAACACCAGTATCTGCACTCCCAACAAAACCAGTACCAGCACCAGTACTGCTGACAGCGTCAACATTGCTGTCAGCAACATGTCTAACCAGGACTTCGGTACATCCAATTCTCCCACCAGTCACAACTTATTAGAAGGGGATCTGGGTTCAGTGTTTGGGGCCGGAGGATACATCAGCTGTCCTGATGTAGCTGACGACCTAGAGCCTCTGGATAGAAGGCAGGCAAACCCAGTAGCAGAGCCAGTACGACCGGTCAGACCAGTTAGGCCTCCTCGGCCCTCACTCAGGGTAAGTTGGAAACCACACACATGCAACTCATATATGATAAATACAGGTATCTATTGGTCCAATCTGTTTTTTTGTGTCCAAGACCCTGACCGAGTTAGTCCATATCCCAATAATATTCATTCTAATTGGGTTGTAGGGTCCCATTGTATTTGGTTCTGTTCAAGTCAACTGTATTTTGGATGCTTTAGTCTATTTGTTTAGTCTATTTATTCATTTATTTTTGCACGTTGGGTTTGGGTAGGTCCTCCGTTAATTTGGATCAGTTTAAAACACTTAGGTTAGACTTAGGGCTGGAGCGATTCGTCGACGTAATCGATTAAGTAAATATGTCGACGCGCATTAAGTGCGTTATCCCGCAGCACTTTGTCTAGACGGCAGCACCGCAAATCATGTTTACTTTCTGTCGCCACATAAGCACGGCATATTATCAGCACGAGGACACGTAATCTGTTAAAATGTTTATTGCCTTCATGTTAAAAGTAATTTCTGCCCCGCTGCGGTCATGGTAACGTAACGTTACAACGCGAGTGATGTAACGATCGGCCACATATGAGCGAGAAAACGGCTGAATTTAATTACAGACCATCTGTGACTGTCTGTACAGTCTGTGAGTCCTTTCAGGTGTTACATACATTTTATTATACTGCATCACTTAATATTGAAATGAATCCATGTCAGAAACATTTAAAGTTTTAAGTAAAGTAGCCTGATTAATTTCTGTTATTGTTTAGTAACACATCAGTGACGTGGAAATTTGATTCATTTTAAGATTTGCTGCTAATGTCATTAGTCTAATGTGCTGAAATTCATCAGGATGATTGAATAAAATATAGATTTATTGATTAGACATGTTTTTGATATTTATTTAGGTTAAATTGGTATGTTAATCGAGTAATAGGCAACTTTTCTTTCTTTAGAATAAACAAAATTAGTCGTTAGATTAATCACCTAATCGAAAAAATAATCGTTAGATTAATCGACTTGAAAAATAATTGATATGTACAGCCCTAGTTAGACTATAGTTAATTAATTTATCATGCTGAATTCATTTTCTTTTTATATAACTGTTCAAATGTCACTGGTCAGCATGATTTCATTGTTTTATAGAAGTTGGTTCCTCCTGGTCACTTTTTTCACAGTGATCTTTAGTTTTACAGCCCCACATACGTTACAAAGCCTTTTATGATCACATTAGTTATTACAGGGACCCAGTAAAGACTCGAAGCATCCAGTAGTTTGTCAATTACTTAGTCTGTCACCAGAGAGCGTACGTATGGAGCGATGCCCTAAACCCAACAGGAAGTCGGCCATTTTGAATTTTACGTCAAATTTTGGATGATTTACACACTTTGTACTTTAACGAACTCCTCCTAGGGATTTTGTCCGACCAACCTCAAATTTGTGCTGTGCCTTCTAAAGGCATTGAAGATGAAAAGTTGTGCTATCTGTGAGTTTTTGTCAATGGGCGTATCCATGGCGTGGCGTCAAAGATCAACTCTTCGCCATGACACAGGAAGTTGTTGTAACTTCAGTGTACATGCTCACATCTGCACCAAACTGTACATGTAGGATGAGAGTCCCGCCCTGAACACATGTACATGCCGACATTCACCCACAGTCATAGCGCCACCTGCTGGCAACAGGAAGTGACCTTTATCGAAGCAGCCCCCGCCGCACGTTTCACCTACGTATACAAATTTTCTGTGGTACGTGTATCTTGTCCAGACGCACAAAAAAGCCTCTTGAAGCGATGCCCTAAACCCAACAGGAAGTCGGCCATTTTGAATTTTACGTCAAATTTTGGATGATTTACACACTTCGTACTTTAACGAACTCCTCCTAGGGATTTTGTCCGACCAACCTCAAATTTGTGCTGTGCCTTCTAAAGACAGATGAAAAGTTGTGCTATCTGTGATTTTTCGTCAATCTGCGTATCCGTGGCGTGGCGTCAAAGATCAACTCTTTGCCATGACACAGGAAGTTGTTGTAACTTCAGTGTACATGCTCACATCTGAACAAAACTTTACGTGCTTGATAACTCTCCCACCCCGAAGACATCTACACACCAATACCGATTTATATTGATAGCGGCAAGTGCTATGTAGCTCCACATAGGGGACACAAGAAGTGACATACAACACCTTCATGCAGCGTCGGAACCCGCATAGCAAATTCACAGCCGCACCGGCAGAGCTCCAGAATATGCAACACGGCCGGCTCACACCCTGACACGCTACAAGTGCGAGGGCCCGCCCAACGCTGTTTGCGTCCCCATCCCCCAATTGGAAGGCAGTGTCTCGAGATTTCAGCAGGGAATGGACCTCAGCTGTCAACCACTGCTTCTTGTTCTAGTGTGTGGTGATCGGCTTCATGCATTCACTATGTAGGGCCCTGTGATTTCTATGATGAGGAAAACACAGACAGAATTGCAGAAATTGACAATAAAAATGAGAAACTGTAACACAATAAACTTGGAATATCTTGGAATCTGCCTTTTTTGGATGCAATTTATAAAAATATGTGCTTTTCTTAGCATTACAAATGTTTTCCCACCACAGCACTTAATGCTATGTTTTGGTATCATTTACGGGCTTCTGTCCTCTGCTGTCTCTGTCGGTGTGTCATGGCTCCTCTGGCCCACACACACACCACCCCCGTCATATTGAAGACAGTCAATGCATTAGTAAGTGCGGGGTAGTGGGTTCTATTTCTATTACTAGTAGGTTTTTTCTCATTTCACTATATTAATTCTCCACCTTATTTTAATGTTTCCTCACTACTTGAATCTGCTCCCTTTACCTTCAGCATCCCTTTTCCGGCCAAACAGCCAAAGTTCTGTTCCAATTCAAAGTCGCATCTAGCCAAGTACAGTCAAATACCCGGATGTGTTCTCGCTCCGCCCCTTTTTACCGAGCCTGCATCGGTGGTGACTTGTCTGGACTTTGGATAGCCAGGTATCCCATAATGCATTTCGTGTCATCTGCTGGTGTTGGTCCACTGTGTTTTCTGAGGTCCAAGGTCAACGCAGCCATCTACCAGGAAGTTTTAGAGCACTTCATTCTTCCTGCTGCTGACCAACTTTATGGAGATGCAGATTTCATTTTCCAACAGGACTTGGCACCTGCACACAGTGCCAAAGCTACCAGTACCTGGTTTAAGGACCATGGTATCCCAGTTCTTAATTGGCCAGCAAACTCGCCTGACCTTAACCCTATAGAAAATCTATGGGGTATTGTGAAGAGGAAGATGCGATACGCCAGACCCAGCAATGCAGAAGAGCTGAAGGCCACTATCAGAGCAACCTGGGCTCTCATAACACCTGAGCAGTGCCACAGACTGATCGACTCCATGCCACGTCACATTGCTGCAGTAATTCAGGCAAAAGGAGCCCCAACTAACTATTGAGTGCTGTACATGCTCATACTTTTCATGTTCATACTTTTCAGTTGGCCAACATTTCTAAAAATACTTTTTTAGAAATTCTATTTTTCAGAGATACTGAATTTGGGATTTTCATTAGTTGTCAGTTTTAATCATCACAATTAAATGAAATAAACATTTGAAATATATCAGTCTGTGTGTGATGAATGAATATAATCCAAGTTTCACTTTTTGAATGGAATTACTGAAATAAATCAACTTTTTGATGATGTTCTAATTATATGACCAGCACCTGTATTCATTTATTTAATTTTTTGCTAGATAGTTTGTTGCAATTTGCAAGCTCACCACTAGATGCCAATTTCATCAGATATCACTAGGATTGGCTCAGCTGTTGAAAAGTTATGAAATGAGTAAAATGACTGAAAGTATTAACCAGATCCTCTAAATTATGGATTTTCTACTTTACGAAACAATCCTTCTTGTCCAGTCATACTTACTGGAAGTAGCTTCAGACAATGCTGACAGCTAAATGAATATAATGTTGTGCAATGTAAAAGTGTACTTGCATATGCCCTCAGTCACCTTGTGCATAAAAGACAGTGGTTTTTTGCAGCAATTGAGCTGTTAAAACAGAGGCCCATTTGATTTACCATCATGCTGTCCGTTGTATTTCATGTGCGTTTTAGGCCAAGGAGAAGGCTCAGTCCCAGACTCAGGACATTGACCTGAAGTGATCTCTCACCGACCAACACTCATGTGGGGGTTACAGTGTCAGCAGGGTTCCCATAACAACATGGCAACACGAGATGAAGAGGATGCGGAATGGACAGGTGAATGAAGACCAAGGGGGTTGGACTGAAGGAGTGATGACAAAAAAGATAGGAGGGAGATATCATTCTGCTGTTATTTATGGAAATAATTCTAGTTTCAGATGTTTTTAAGTTTGCAGGTATCAAAGGAAAAAAAGTATGTCAGAATAGAAAGATGAGAAGTAGGCAAGATGTAAAAACTACCAAGGCTGGCTGTCTCCACAAGAGACTGATTACCATTAAAGGTGGGGTAAGCGATTCTGGAGAAATCCAACACCAGGACAAATACCATGATAGAGAGCGAACAATGACACAGCAAGTAAGGGAACTAAGATTAAGCAAACTGTTGTAGCAAACTGTTGCTACACTTGCTGCTGCAAAGCTAACATGATGCTAACATGAAGCTAACATGCAGACAGGACGAGACGGTCCCAGAGCAGCACAGCAACACCAGACAGCGATAATCACAACTCTGCTGCTGCTATAGCTAACATCACAACAGCGTGTCTTGGTGAACTAGAAAGTCTGAATGAAAAACTGAATGTCTGTGGGCAAGTTATTTAACATTAATGACACACATCATGGCTGGAACGGCTGTTGTGTCCTTGTTTGCTTCCCATTTACAGAGCCAGGGCTGAGTACAAACACCGCACACAGAATGGACAGCTAGTGGACCATGTGGAGATACTGACTGAATTTGACAAAAAGACGTGGATTACATTAGAATCATTTACCCCACCTTTAAGGAAAACTGTTTGGCTTATGGCTTCAGTCTATTTCGAGCGATTTATAAAAGTTGGAAACAACTATATTAAAATATTAACATTCTTTCAGGGTGGTCTTACATAAAAAATAATTTATTCCATAGTGTTTTTATCCCAGGTGATGCTTGTTAGTCAACCATGAGGTTGATATTATCTGTTAATTGTTCACAATATTAGCTACCAACACACTCCTTTGTCCTCTCAGTTAAGCTTTCCATTGTTTTTGACAAGTTTTGACAGGGCTAATTGGCCCACTGTTACTCCTAAAGTCCACTGAATCCACTGAGTTATGTGGCCATTATTGTCAATGCTTGTGAGTCCACTAGACGCAGCAGCAGCAGCAGCGTGTCCCAGAAGCGGCTCTCCACTCTGCTCCACAGAGATGGGTAGCAGCTCTATTTTTGACTGATGACGTGTCAAGCAGCACAGAGCAGATCAAACCAAGCAGGAAGTCAGACACATAGAGAATCCAGTCAATTTTCAAAATAAAACACCCTGTGGGGACTCCCGATTGTAAAACAACAATAACCACAGTTAAAACAGACACAAAAAGAAATCATTTAATTATGTAGCCTATTTAATCATAGTTGAAACACAAAAAGCAAACAGTGGTTACCAAATCATCAAAATCTAAACATGCCAGCAAAATCAGGCAGGCAAAATGCTCTGAATCTCAGAAATGCTCCTTATGGGATATACAGTGTGAAGTTGACGAAGCGAAACATTGTCACGCAGAGCCGTGAAGAAGATAGTAGAAGCACAAAAATACATATTAATAACAAGTCAATAACGCTCCACTGCTGAAACGCTTCTGTGGACTATGGCTATGGACGCATCAAAACCGTGGTGCAGCCGTAACACGCCATAGCCAGAGTCAGTGGACTTAAGGAGTCAAAATAATCTTCCTTATTGAGATTTGAGTTTAGTGTTTAGCATGTGTAAGTGGACTGTCACATAGATAACATGTATAAAAATTATATACTCTGTTATTGTGGTTTTCAGATTACCTAGTCAATTAGTAGTTTTAGGTCTAAATTCAGTGAGAACTGTAGAGAGGGTTTGGTTGGGTTGTACAGTGAGTGTACTGTAGCAAATAAAGCAAATAACGTTAACTAAATAATAACATCCTGCTGCCAGTAAAGCAAATTTGAATTGAACTGAGTGCACATCTATACCATCACCATGGTTACATGTCCAGTGTTTTCAGTCATCAGTTTCTTTAATATGCTGCTTAAAGAGTTGTTCACTGCCATCTCTGGCTTAAAGTTTCAAGCCTGGCTCCCCTGATGGGTGTGGTCAGAGGTGTGCTTTGTTGAAACTGTAATGTCACCCAACAGTGATGTCACAGCATCCTGGACTACACCTGCATCTCACTGCCACAAAGTGAGAAGTTAAACCACTAGAGGTCAGCAAAAACAACATTTTCAGGGGAGCAGTAAACAAATGAAACATCACTTGGACATCAAAGCTGAAAACTGTTAAATCGCCTCTATACTGCATTTCACTACATCAGTGTCCCAGTTCTACACCATATGCTAATAATATTAATTAAAAACTATGCATTAACGTTGACTGTGCAAATTTTGATAATTAGTATACAAGACATTGATTTTCTTCATTGTTTGATACTAACACAGAAGGATAAGTGTGAAACTCCAACTTTGAAAGACTACTGCCAATTTCAAATAAGAAAACAACAAATTATATTTTTGTTTTGTTTTAGTTTTCTGAGCCACAGCTAGACTCTTTTTCTTTCACTAATTTACAAAAAACCTGTTGTGCTGCTTTGTGGAGCCAGTGATGTGTAGAGGAAGTTTCATCTTAATGATCGTTTAAACTGAACATTTGTTCTCCAACATGCTGCAGTTTTACAGAAAGGCTGCACCCCACATCTTAACTACATCTTAACTACATTTTTATCTTTTTTTTGCTACTAAAGCTAGCGACCAAACATAGGACAGTTTTCCTTGAAACTCCAAAATAAAAGCATCCCTGTCAAAATAAAAGTATTACATTTTCTGATCTACAGTTTAAACTGAAGATGAATTGCTTGTTTAATTATTTAAATCGAACCAATAAATTAAATCAATATGTTGTCCACATTAGCAAGAGTGTGCACCAACACAACACTCAAAACATTAAAAACCAATTTGAAAGAAATTGAAAATAACTGTTATGGGGAGATAATATTTCAGCTTGTTTAAATTACTACCCATATATCGGTATCTGCATATATGGTGGCTGATGAGTACCAAAAAATAAAACACAGAAATGTCATAGATATGGTTTAGAGAGTAACAATGAAAATTGGTCTATATCTCAGTTTTTAAACTCAAATCAGCTCGGCTATAATATGCACTATATACTAATTGTCATAGTTTAGTGTTTTTGCAGTTGGATCTCGATAAATCAATTTATCTCACAGTATTAACTAACAGGAAAGTGTGAACACATACTGTTAACCTGCTTACCGTTAGTATTATGGATGGGATTGGGATACAGCTAGAATCAGTAACCAGGCGAGATCAGGCATAAGCAGCGCTTGTTTGCTTGAAGAGCGCTGTTTGGCCAGTGGAAACACAGTGAAAGCTTTCAGAGTTTCTTACAGGGAGGTCTGTTTACCCTCATCAAACCAAAGACATCAGAGAGGGGGAGTGAGAGCAGATGAAAGAGCAGAAATGGGCTTCCTGCTGCTGATCTACCACCATGGCATCAGTTTTGATGTACGCCTCTGGGTTGGGTGGGGGTAGTAGTCCTGCTGAATGAATGGTCAGATGAAACTGCATGAAGTAAAACATCATCCTTCTTTTGTTAAGCCTCCCATAACTGTGTTTTTCTGGCCACTTGAGGGCAGCAGAAACAAGCTGTGAACACACCACTGACATGTCATCACCTTTGTTGGTATGGTGAACTTGTAGCAAATAGTTGTTTACTTACACATGCAGCAGTTACGGAGCAACACTATCATCCTGCAGGAGTTGCGTCCACCTGGTAATTGTGAGTCTCTCTACTAGCTCTAGTTTTGGGCTCCTGAAAAAAACAATCTGGCTCTTTAGAGGTTTTTCTCTGAAAACAGCTGGTTACTGTGGCTGAACAGTGAATCTGCAGCCGGACAGATAAACAACAAGTCACTAGCTCCGTAAAGCTAAGGGGAGCAGCAGATTCAGGTGACTAATGACCCTTTTCACAATGTCATTTCATATATTGTTATTGTTACCGATTACAGCTGCTTTAAGGTAACAGACTGTGTATGTGCAGCATTTTAACTGTTAGGGCACTGTTTCTGCTTGCTGTAAGAAACAATCCACATGTACTGTGTAACTAATCCATTTGGTAGACAAAGCAGTGCACATTCAATATACAATGTAACCAATTCAATAAGCAGTTTACAAATACACTAAAGTGTATATAGAAGTATTCTTGTATAAAGTGAAGTATGTAAATGTTTGATAGATTTATGGTGTGTCCATTGTGAATATATATCAAATGACAGTCTACCCTCACACTGGAACAGACTTAGCAGGCACTAAAGAAACATTTTAGTTAATACTACGTTTCAGTTCACGCCTACCTCATTACTACTTTGCCATGCACACATGACAACACTGTGAAACCTGTAAAAGCAAACATTCTGTGACTTTGCAGTCAAGAGAAAATGCAAATTCATGTACACATTGTAAAACCAGGTCATTTTCAGACTGACACTCTACAGGAAGAACAAATGAGTTTGTCAGTCATATGTATCAAACAACATAACTAATATTGCATATGCATATGTCCATGTGAGCCAGTTTTCAGTGCTGTCTTGTTTAAGTCACTGTCAGCAAAGTGTTGCTTCTTATTCATAACAATACACAGGCCTGACACAGATTTAGATTTAACTATGGGCGATGTGGATAAATCCTCTACCCACACACACACACACACACACACACACACACACATATACACACACACAATTTTCCATCATTTCCATAATATGTCCAGATTTGTCTTCATGTTCAAAGTCAGAAATCCTGTTTGCAAAGCAGGAGAGGTGAAGCTGCAGTGGAACATATCACAGTTTGTTAGAAGGACACACAACATTGCTGCCTCTCTGACTGATGACCCACTGATGACTTACCTACTGGCATCACAGTGATCTGGAGTTTATTGTTTGGATTTAAATTTATTATATCCTTGTCCTGGAAGTATGAGAACCCATAAAGAGGAATTTGTTTTTTCTGACTGTGCTGCAAATCCCAATATTAGAAGGCTGTTCGTGTCTACAATACTAATGATAAATACATTATCAACATTATTCTGGACTGTTCTCTCTACTACACAGAGAAGACCTCCCTTCATTAGAAAATGTTTTTGCCATGGCTATAGGTGGCACCTTCTTTCATCAAAACAGATCCAGATAAAAATTACGTTAATTTATATGATAGATTGAGTTTCATGAAAGAAGCACCTGTATGACCAGATTTGTTCTTTGGAGATTTCCCAATGTTCTGCCGGGAGTTTACAAAATGCATGAGGAAATCTACAACTTTCACTCTACAACAGTTGCTTCTGGTGCATTTGTAGATGTGTGCACTTTAAAAGCCATGGTCAAGTGAAATGATATTCAAAACTTGTGTTTTGCCATTGTGAAGCTGTGGTTTCTTGTGATGATAATGCATTTGTTAATGTTGTGTGTTCTGCCATCCAAATGTGAGGTTCTATGTTGGAAAAATGAAGAAATAAAACTCATCTATAATTCCAGCATGTGGTCTGGTTCGTCTTTGAGAGACCACTCTCAAAGTGGAATACAACGGGGGTTATGTATTTTAACCCGGATTTTATGAGTATAGGCGCAGCCCTCTAAAGCTATCGCTATTGGTTTTCCCCTTTCGCACGCCTGCGCGGCACTGAGAATTTTGGTTTACGCCCACCCACAGCGTGGGCCTCTCCTACGTCCGCACCTTGTGTATGACTGACCAATCTTTACCAACTAACTTCAATAATTTCTTCATCTAAACCATCAACCTGCCTCTTAGACCCCATCCCGACTAGGCTGCTTAAAGATGTTTTACCCTTAGTCAGCACTTCTATACTAGATATGATCAATCTATCTTTATCAACAGGCTATGTACCACAGTACTTTAAAGTAGCGGTAATTAAACCTCTTCTGAAAAAGCCCAAACTTGATCCGGATGTTTTAGCCAACTACAGACCTATATCTAACCTTCCATTTCTCTCTAAGGTTCTGGAGAAAGCAGTTGCTAAACAGCTGTGTGACTTTCTACAGAGCAATAGTTTATTTGAGGATTTTCAGTCAGGATTTAGAGCTCATCATAGCACAGAGACAGCACTGGTGAAAATTACTAACGACCTCCTTATTGCATCAGACAAAGGACTCGTCTCTGTACTGGTTTTATTAGATCTTAGTGCTGCATTTGATACCATTGACCATCAGATCCTATTACAGAGACTGGAACATTTCATTGGCATTAAAGGAACCGCTCTAAGCTGGTTTAAGTCCTATTTATCAGATCGATTTCAGTTTGTACATGTTAACGATGAGTCCTCCATGCACGCCAAAGTTAGTCATGGAGTTCCACAAGGATCTGTCCTCGGACCAATCCTCTTCACTTTATATATGCTTCCGTAGGCAATATTATCAGGAAATATTCCATAAGCTTTCATTGTTATGCAGATGATACTCAGTTATATCTAGCGATCAAACCAAATGAAACTCATCAGTTAGCTAAACTTCAAATGTGCCTTCAGGATGTTAAAACCTGGATGACCTGTAATTTTCTAATGTTAAACTCAGATAAAACTGAAGTTATTGTTCTGGGGCCTAAGCACCTCCGTGACGCATTATCTAAAGATATAGTTTCCCTTGATGGCATCGCCCTGGCCTCCAGCACCACTGTGAGGAATCTTGGAGTTATCTTTGATCAGGACATGTCGTTTAAGTCTCACATTAAGCAAATTTCAAGGACCGCCTTTTTTCACCTACGTAATATTGCGAAAATCTGGAACATCCTGTCTAAAAATGATGCAGAAAAAATAGTCCATGCATTTGTTACTTCTAGGCTTCTACTTCTTACTTCTATTACTGCAATTCCTTATTATCAGGCTGCTCGAAAAAGTCCATTAAGACTCTTCAGCTGATTCAGAATGCTGCAGCACGTGTTCTGACAGGAACCAGGAAAAGAGATCATATTTCTCCTGTTTTAGCTTCTTTGCATTGGCTTCCAGTAAAATCCAGAATAGAATTTAAAATCATTCTTCTTACCTACAAAGCTCTTAATGGTCAGGCACCATCTTATCTTAAAGAGCTCATAGTACCTTACTACCCCACCAGAGACCTGCGCTCCCAGAATGCAGGGTTACTTGTGGTTCCTAGAGTCTCCAAAAGTAGACTAGGAGCCAGAGCGTTCAGCTATCAAGCTCCTCTCCTGTGGAACCAGGTTCCAGTTTGGGTTCAGGAGGCAGACACCATCTCCACATTTAAGAGTAGGCTTAAGACTTTCCTCTTTGATAAAGCTTATAGTTAGGGGTGGTTCAGGTGACTCCTGAACCATTCCTTAGTTATGCTGCTATAGACCTAGACTGCCGGGGGATTTCCTATGATGCACTGAGCTCCTCTCTCCACTACTTTCTCTCCCTCTGTATGCAACCTCATCCCATTATTGCATGTTACTAACACAACTTCTCCCCTCCCCGGTAGTCTTGTGCTTTCTCGTCCCTCTCCTCTCTCCTCTTATCACTTCCTGCAGGTTTTCTGGCTCTGGAGCTGTGGAGTCTGGATCTGTGGCTGCGGGTCACCTGCTGCCCCCGTGTTCCTGCTCGGCACCCTCCTCTGCAATGACTATTGTTGCTAGTCCTATTATTATTATTGTTATTATAATCATTAACATTACGATT